CAAGGACTTTGTCGACTGGTGTGAGCGCAACCACTTGTGCTTGAACACCAGTAAGACCAAGGAGATGGTAATCGACTTCAGGAGAAAACCGCTTTCCCACACGCTGCTGAACATCCAGGGGGAGGACATTGAGCTGGTGGACAGCTTCAAGTGCTTGTGTGTTCACATTAACAATAAACTGGACTGGTGCCATAATACAAACGCCCTGCACAAGAAGGGCCAAAGTCGCCTCTTCCTTCTGAGGAGGCTGAGGTCCTTCGGAGTGAGCAGGCCTCTGCTCAGGACTTTTTATGACTGTGTGGTAGCCTCAGCCATTTACTAGGCTGCCGTGTGCTGGGCCCCGGGCAGCACAGAGCGGGACAGAAGCAGACTGAACAAGCTGATCAGGAGGGCCAGCTCCACTCTGGGCTGCCCCCTGGACTCTGTGGAGGAGGTGAGGGACAGGACGGTGCTAGTCAAAGCCACCTCCATCATGAACAACACCTCCCACCCACTGCACAGGACTAAAGAGGAGCTGAGGAGTTCCTTCAGTGGAAGACTGAGGCACCCCCAGTGTAGGAAGGAGCGCTACCGCAGGGCCTTTATCCCCACCGCTGTCAGACTGTACAACAAGTCACTTTAAGTCACTGTATAAGACTGAAAAACCTGCACTAATACTGACACTATTTCTGATTGCCACTTTTAAACTGCCACTTTTTTATGTACATAATATATCCTGTATTTAACATGTTTGCACATTTCCTCTTTTTTGCACAATCTGAGTGTTTCTATCCATGCCAAATGTGACATGTAAATTTCTCCTCCTTGTGAGATAAGATATTCTTTATTTATCTTATAAACAACTGCGGGCAGGGGGAGGCGGGCTCACAGAGGATCAGACTTCTCTCTGAATCAGCCTGTTTGAGTCGAGGTGACGTCACCTCTATACAAGAGATGGCTATAATCTCTCAAGTTTTGAGTGTTGTATGGTGCATCACACACATTATTATCACACATGTGCATAGGATTGACTATGAAACATGAAGAAAAGCGTAATATAGGACCTTAAAAAATACTTCTGCTGGCAATAGCAGATGTATTTTGAACTTCATAAGCCACAAGCTATATATCATTTTAAAGCTTATTTTCTCAGCTATATTTATATGTAAGTGTAAACGATATCAGACTTGCATTAAAAAGATACAAAGCATAATATGGGCACAAAATAAATTGTGTTTGTATAAGTTTCTTGCCCTTCTTCTGCTGCTCCTACAAATTACTTTCCCCATCCTTGCTTAGTCTCTTTCTCTCCGTAAGTCTTCATTGAAAAAGAATATCCACTTGTATTTCCCAAAGTATAATCCAATCTTCAGAAATAATCCAAAAATGTGTTTTTTTGTTAAAAAAAAAAAAAAACGCTCCGAAAAATGTTCAGGCTTCTCTTTCACATTTCACCAAGTTTGAGCTTTGTTTACCCCACAAACATCATATCCACGTGTTCCTTGAGTCCTTAGCTTCAAAAAGAGAGGTTCCATGAAAAGATAGCAGTTTCAGTCCGCAGGACCATTGTGAAAAAGACAAACCGCATTCATTTGCAGAGGGTCAGTTTTTGCCTTGTTGTTGTTTACAGGCTAGCGCTAGTAGCCAATAAAAAGAGCTTTTTTTTGATGGGTGGGACTTGTATGAAGTCTTTTCATTTTCACAGTAAAAGCGTGCGTAAAGACGCTGTTAGTATTTACACTACTAAAAACATAATTTTGAAAAAATGTAAAAGAAAATCACACAGATTTGTAACTTATAAGTACCAAAACTAAAAAATATGCTTTTTATGATGGTGAAATGTTAGTAAAGCAGTTTGGCACAATTTGGCACACATTTTGCCAAATAGTTTCCGAATGGCACTACTTGATAAAAAAGAGAAACTGCATTAAAACTATAACACTTAGAAGTCTGAAACTTTACACAGTTGTTGTCAATAACACAATGAACAAATTGGCGTTGAAAATATTCGTCTTCCAATGAAGTAGGCTTATTAGGGCATTTATACATTACATTTTTCAGGCGAGGCTAAAAAAAACAGGTTTTTCCCAAACTTCAAAGGATGCAGAGTGAAATAGGAATGACGTACATTATTTCAGTGTATATTTACATAAACTTGAAGGGCCTACCTTTAAAATGATGCATCACACAAGCATGTAAGATGTGTTTTTAAATAAGCAAAGACATTTGGGTATGCCAAACTTTTGTGCACGAGCCAAAACAGATGTAGGAGTTTAAGAGGTTAAGCATTTTTATTTCTGCACATTCGAACATATTCAAATGAAGTAATGAATCTTTCTTTTGGTTTCTTAGTTCTCTCTTTTCTAGATAATTTTAACAAAAAAAGTCCCGTTTTTATAATTTACTTTTTATTGTCTTCACAATGTTCATTTCAATAATAACAAAGCTCATAAAAAAGCTTATCAATCTATCCTTGAACATGTATTCAAACGACAATATTTTTCTTTAATCGTAAAAACATAAAATAAACACAGAAAAAATTAAAATAATAGTAGCTTATAACCAGGGTGTGTTAAATATTTCTATAAGATACTTTTTGTTCAGTAAATGCACATCTCTCAATCTTTTGACCTCCCCAATGGTTTTTCATACAAAATCTATTGAAATATGTTAGGTAACATAGGACAAAGTCCCTTTTTTTAACGTCTCTGCACATTCCATGTTTAAACAAAATAGTCCCCAATAGATGTACTGTAAAAAAGACAATTCTCTTTTCAACTGTCTCTTCTGACTCTATTACAAGTTATATTAAAGGTGCTTTCACACGCTGACGCCTCGCAATAATCTCCAACGCATATGTTCACAAGCACTATGTACCCCATTGTCAACCCTGCTTTTAGTCCTGGTGTAGTTCCTGTTTTGACTGTTTACGAGTAAGTTCGGTCTGCTCGCTCAGGCCGCTAATGTCCCATGACCACTTTGAGGCTCTTGATTGGGTGCTACACGAGCGTCCGAGAAAACGCTCAGCAATATTTATCTCCTGCGCCTTTTTGCGTTGGTCTCACCCTATGGACCAATTCATATGTGTATTCTATGTGTCTTAACTGTTGATTCTCTCATCTGTGTCGGTGATTTCAATTTTTTTTTTGTTAAGTCCTCTGAGATGACTGCTGTTGTCATTTAGTATTACAGTACCATAGTTGGCTTATGGATCTATTATTATAACATCTGGATATGGGTATTAATTGCTTTTAGCTGAAGGATCCATGTGCTCGGGCGATTCTTGTGGTACTGCAGACTAAACAAGACTAAATTCAAGTGGGCTACCCAGAAATGTTCCCAAAAGAACTTGATGTAAACTAAAACAGCTGAACTTGTTTTTTCTTGTTAAATCCTTTGGTTGTCTATAAATCCACACTTCAGCGCACCAAACTTTGCTCGATTGTCTCCCGCTCTAACTCTGCTCTGATCAGCAGGGCCTGATGTGCACGTGCCTGAGGGCCACACATGTGTATTTTCCGCAAAGAATCATGGGATCTAGAACACTGTGCAGAACCGGGAGGACCTTTTGGTGCCCATGGTGGCACGTGCCTTCCATTAATTTGAATAATTCAATAACTAATAAATTGACAAGTATTTTGTGGCTCAACATTTGTCTGTACATTTTCTTGAATACAATCTATTTTGAGGCAAATAAGTCACTTTAAGTCATGCCGTATATATATCGTCTAACAGAATATGTGACCAGCCACAACAGTAAGCTATAAAAAGATTTGTTGGTGAATGAATAATATGCATTGATGAATTAATGAAATGGATTTTGTGGGTCTCGGGATGGGCCTCGTTTTCTGCTGATTGAGGTCACTGTGTTGAGCTTCTTAGAGGTGTATTTAACTCGGTGCAGTCAAAACGAGGCCTGCTCTTCTCTCTGTGTTCACACAATTAGTCCACTGACTGCCGCTCTAGACTTAAAACAGAGTTGTCCTGTGAGGCATGGTGGCTTGGCGCTTGGGCTTCACAGCAAGAAGGTCCTGGGTTCGCTTCCACCTCCAGGCCTTTCTGTGTGGAGTTTGCATGTTCTCCCCTTGTCTGCATAAGTTTCTTCTGTGAGCTCCAGTTTCCTCTACCACTAAAACATGTACAATAGGTCTGAATATAATGATTGACTGATTGGGTGGCGTTGGTTGAGGACTTTGAAAAATATCTGAACTCCAAAAACATAGCAAAGCGCTTCGGGTGACCTTGGTCTATGAAATGCCCTATATAAATAATGATTGCTTGGAGTGACGATGAGTTTACTTTTCAAAATAAGTCATGAGCACTTCCCTATTGGGCTTCATTCAGCTAGAGGGTTAGCATCGTCCATCCACATTTGAACCCAACACTAAATTACATACAGTTAAATAAATAAAACACACAATTGGCCTAATAGGTTAAGGCTGTAACTACAGACTTCACTTTTGGTCCAGTTTTGGTTGACTCTAAACGGTAACTTAAGTATTTTTGTTCAGGAAAATACAAACACAAGTTATGCCTTCATATTGTAAAAGAAATCATAACTTTCAACCAACAAAACCACTCCCGTCTGTGGTCAGTGTATGGTTGACGGTCCAGCTTTCGTCCTGTATCTTCTGTCCTAAGTGTTGTTTTTGCCATCTGTGGAGAGGCGAGCCGACCTAATGCAAGAATTCAAGCTTTTCAGCAGTAAAAACATCTATTTAAAAGTACTAGTTCTATATTATAATCATGATAGTAAAGCGGCAACATGTCCATGACAGAAAATATACAGTATGAAGCTTTTAGCTAATAGACAATATGTTAACGTTCCCGCCCGTCTGTGTGAACTGTTGAGCAAGGAGAATAGTAACTGCATCTGTCCCAGGGTGCGTGTCCTTCTGGATGAAGCCAGTCACTACCTCATTCATCTTTTTTCTCTCTCTCCTCATGCAGCGTTGTACCCTGAAGTGGGAGAGCACCAGGATTTATACCAGTCTCAAAACGGTCCAAAGCACAGATCCAAGATGGCTGAGGCGACCCAGCTGCAGCAGCCGCAACAAACAGAGGCTTTGGAGAGGAAGGAGGATCTGTGTCAGAACTCTGAGGACCGGGATGAAGACCAGGACCAGTCCAGCACAGAGGGCTCCACAGAGTCCGAAGATAGCTCTGAAGAGGGCTCCACAGCAAGCCGGACCCCCACCCGTCCCCTGCTCTCCATCAGGTCTCAGAGTACAATGGACATGGAGGATGACTCTCCGAATATGATAGTCTACAGAAAGGTAAGACAAGCAGGAACAATCACATGTGACATCATTCAGATTCAGATGATTTCTTAAACTTTAAAATAGGATTTGTGGTCCCTCACTTTATTGCAGCTCACCTCACTGCTTGTGTGCAATTGTGCATTTTTATAGGGTGCTTCACATGCGCCACTGACGTTAACTTTATTTGTGGCCAATGTTGCCCCTGATTTTTCATGGATCTGAGCACAAACATAAAACTCCCTGAGCGGCCCCTTGGAGCCGTGTGAGTGAGTTTTCTGTTGACAACCATCCACATGTTAATACACCTACTTCGATCCTATTTAAGTTTCCTCAACTTAAACCAACGATGATTTGGGTCAATATTCACCTGATCATGATGCAATAGATGGTGAATTAAAGTAGATTTAGGTATACATTTATGTTGCACTAAAAAATAAAACAATATATTCAAAGGGGATTTAGCCTATTTATAATATAGACCAGGGGTGGCCAACCCGCGGCTTGTGAGCCTCATGCGGCTCTTTGGCTGCTTCCATGTGGGTCTCGGGCTTTCGCAAGCATCAAAAACGCCTCGGCGGTGGTGCTGCCATTCATCATTAAAATTAGCAACCATGAAATGAATGATCACAAAAGCAAAAGCAGAGGCAGAACCGAAAAGTCTGGAGGTGGTTTGACCAAATGGATATATTTATGGACATCAGCTAACACCAGCTAACACGGCTAACAAGCTAACACCATGGTGAGTGTCTGTCCTCCATCAAATTAGTTGTGAATAGGGTTGCCAACTTGAGAATAGGAAAAAAAGGGACACCTTTTGGGTGGATCCGGTTGAGCACTTTTTATTCCTTATTTCAATCTACACAGGAATCATGGAATTTCACTATCAGTTTTTAGAACTTGATTTATTGATTACATATAAAAAAAAAATCCTTAGTCAAAATTGAAATTAAATACACAGGTGGAACTCTTTGGCTGGTTAAGGACTTAATACATTTTAGTCAAAATTTTAGTTAAAATATAAAAAAAGACTAATGCTGTAACATAGTATGTTACAGTAAAGACCATTTACTGTAAAAAGCAAAGAAAAACATGTATTCATTTAAAATATAAAAGACTCACAAATGTTGAAATCAAAGTCTGTAGCAGTTAGACATAGTCATTATTTATAGTGTCTGAGAGTTTAGTGCGTGTACATGGCTTCACGTAAAAGCTATTGTTCGTTTACAAAGCGGGTCTTGACATTTGTTGACGCTCCCTACGCGTTTTTTTCGGCGCTTGCAGCAATGGATTTTTCTGCATTAAAACGGCGCATTGGATTTGAACAAACAATGTAAATGTGATAATTTTGGCACAATTACTTTTGTTTAACAAAGTAGCTTTCGTGCTATTGACCGCGGAAGTCCAAATCTGGGAATATGAGGCTAACTTTACCAAACTTCTGCTGTGTTGATGCTGCGGGCATGCCCCACGCTGCCACTTGTCAACATTAAACCCATGGATGTGATCAAGCCCACGCCCCTTTGACAATGATTAGCCGAAAGGTAGACGCTTTACCTGTGATTACTGTGTGTGCGTGTGATATGCGGTGAGTGAGTGATGCATTTAAGGCGGCTCTGAAAATATGGAACAAAAGCCGCCCCGCATCCATTCAATACGGGACGCACATAGTTTTTGTAATATACGGGACAATTCCGTATTTTAAGGGAAGGTTGTCAACCCTAGTTGAGAATCACATCAGGCTGGATTCATGTTTTGTGCACAGGACAGTTTTCTGTGCGCCAAGACCTGAAAGCGCTACGTGCACAGCTTAGGGGAACACTGTTTGTGGCCTGTGTGCACCACAGTTTCTGCCGTAGCTCGCTGTATCCTCCGCTGTATTTTATAGTGTATGCATGGCTTTTGACAGCTGCAGCAGTGCTCAGACACAACCAACAGGTTTGATATTCCTGCAATCGCACTCCAACAATCGCCGGCGGGGGAAACGAGAAAAAAAATACTTCTGCTGGCAATAGCAGATGTATTATGAACTTCATAATCCACAAACTATATATCATTTTGAAGCTTATTTTCTCAGCTATATTTATATGTAAGTGTAAACGATATCAGACTTGCATTAAAAAGATACAACGCATAATATGGGCACAAAATAAATCGTGTTTGTATAAGTTTCTTGCCTTTCGTCTTCTGCTGCTCCTACAAATTAGACTTTCCCCATCCTTGCTTAGTCTCTTTCTCTCCGTAAGTCTTCATTGAAAAAGAATATCCACTTGTATTTCCCAAAGTATAATCCAATCCTCAGAAATAATCCAAAAATTTGCATTTTTCTGTTGCAAAAAAAAACGCTCCGAAAAATGTTCAGGCTTCTCTTTCACATTTCACCAAGTTTGAGATTTGTTTAGCCCCACAAACATCATAGCCACGTGTTCCTTGAGTCCTTAGCTTCAAAAAGAGAGGTTCCATGAAAAGATAGCAGTTTTCAGTCCGCAGGACCCTTGTGAAAAAGACAAACCACATCCATTTGCACAGAGTCCGTTTTTGCCTTGTTGTTGATTACAGGCTTGACGTGTCCAAGTAGCCAATAAAAAGCTTTCTTTTGATGGGTGGGACTTGTAGGAACTCTTTTCATTTTCACAGTAAAAGCGTGCGTAAAGACGCTGTTAGTACTGCTGCGCATATTTCATATGCATTTACACTACTAAAAAAATAATTTTGAAAAATGTAAAAGAAAATCACACAGATTTGTAACTTATAAGTACCAAAACTAAAAAATATGCTTTTTATGATGGTGAAATGCTAGTAAAGCAGTTTGGCACAATTTGGCACACATTTTGCCAAATAGTTTCCGAATGGCACTACTTGATAAAAAAGAGAAACTGCATTAAAACTATAAAACTTAGAAGTCTGAAACTTTACACAGTTGTTGTCAACAACACAATAAACAAATTAGGTTAGGGTTAGGAAAATTGTCTTCTCCCAATGAAGTAGGCTTTTTTAAGGCCATAAAATTTTGCCATACATTGAATTCTTTTAGGGGAGGCTAAAAAAAACAGGTTTTTTCCCAAACTGCAAAGGATGCAGAGTGAAATAGGAATGACATACATTATTTCAGTGTATATTTACACAAACTAGAAGGGCCTAGCTTTAAAATGATGCATCACACAAGCATGTGAGATGTAAGATGTGTTTTTAAATAAGCAAAGGCATTTGGGTATGCCAAACTTTTGTGCACGAGCCAAAACAGATGTAGGAGTTTAAGAGGTTAAAGCAATAGTATCAACCTTATTGTGGGTTACTTTTAGAATGCATCAACCCTGTGATAAACCAGGGACTTGGGTCTGCCATAAGGATCATGAGTCCTGTGGTGGGGTCTAGAGCCGGACTGAAACATATCAAAATCTAGTAAGCTGTTTGTAGACAACTTTTTCAAGGATTTTCCCCATAAATGGCAGATTTGAGATGGGGCGATAGTTAAGTACGGTGGCATCCAGACTGTTCTTTTTTAATAGGGGCCTGATGATGGCAGTTTTCAGGGCCTTTGTGAATATTCCAGAATGAAGGGACATGTTAACTATCTGTGAGTGAAGGTAACAGAGTGCTCAGAACAGACATCAGAAATCTAGTGGGTAGTACGTCCAGGCTGCATGTGGAGGAGCTCAGACTTGTGATTATCTCTTGGACAGTTTGATCATTTACAGGTGCAAAGTGAGTTAGCTCAGGCAGGCTTTCTGGCTGTTGGATTCTTATCTGTGGATTGGAGACAATGCCGTTTTTGATTCATTGAACTTTGTCATTGAAAACATTTGCAAACTCATTGCATTTACGTTTGGAAGTGAGCTCTACTGGCAGCTGAACAGGGGGGTTTTTAATCTATTAACTGTTGAAAACAGAACACGCAGATTGTTACTGCAGCCTTCAATCATTTCAGAAAAATACCTTTCTCTCGTACTACGTAGCACCCGGTTAAACTCGCACAACTTATCTTTGAAGATCTCGTAATCAACCTGGAGGGTGGACTTGCGCCACTTCCGCTCGGCTCTCCGGCACTCTCTTTTGTGCCCTGACCGAGTCTGCTTTAGCCCACGGCGCCTTCTGCTTATTTTTCAGTATTTTAACCTTCACAGGAGCGATGGTGTCCAGAACATTCAAAACACTAGAGGTGACAGAGTTAAACAGTTCATCTACAGTAGAACACGATGCATTCTCAAAGTTTATCATTCCCATAAATATTTCACCCGTATTTTCATTTATGCGTCTTCTTCGAACAACTGCAGCGTTCTCTGGTGGTTTGTTAGTGAAACACATGTCAAAAAATACACAAAAATGATCCGAAAGGGCAACTTCAACTATGTTTACATTTGCAATATTCACCCCCTTAATAACTAACAGGTCTAGAGTGTGCCCTCTGCTGTGGGTGGGGCCACTCACGTGCTGAGTGAGACCAAAGGATTCAAGTAAAGAACTCAGCTCTTTTGCATTTCTGTCTTCAATATTATCCACATGAATATTAAAATCACCTGTAATAGCCAAACTATCGAAGTCTGTGCATACAACTGAAAGCAACTCCGTAAAATTATCAATAAAGCTGTGACATGACTGCGGTGCTTTGTATAGGACAATGAAAAGAGTTGGAGGAGATTGTTTTTGTTGCATTTTAAAAGACACATATTCAAATGACGGAAACTTCTCAGGAGACATTTTACGTGAGACAAAGTGGTCTCTAAAAATTGCAGCTATGCCTCCTCCCTTTTTGTTTACCCGAATTTCCGATTCGAATTTGAAATTTGATGGTGATGCTTCCATTAAGACTGCATTTTCTGTATTTTGGTCAAGCCATGTTTCAGCCATGAACATAAGATCAAGATTATGAGAATAAAATTGATTAAAAAAAACACTTGTTACAAAGAGATCTGAGATTAAGCATAGCAAATTTCAAAGTGTCAGTGTCAGCGGTTGCAGTCGGCTGATTCATACACGGAACAAGAATTGGATTTTCATGATTAGACTGACTAACTCGATGTTTTTCTGTTATGTATTCTTTGTGTTATTGTTAGGAAATTGGTTTATTAGCATAT